AAACTTTCTTACGTATCTGGCTCGTAAAAAAAAAATCCAAGAAAGACATAATTTTCCCCTTTCCTTTTTCCGGATAATGGCAGCCATCCAGCAATGCTTAAAAAACCCACCTAAGATTGAGGAAAGCTTACAAGCACCAGAAAATAATAAAGGAGAGGTTTTAAGCAATTAAAAAAACCCTGTAGACTGCCCAGTAACAGATTCAACAGCCCAAAAAATAAAATTTGACCAAGTCAGACAAAACACACCCATCAACAAAATTAACTCTTACCCCCCTCTTGCTGATTTAACAAGCCCAGATGTTAACGCCCAGACTTCAAAAGCTCCCAAAGATCATCAGGTAAATCCCCCTCCCCCTTCACCTCGGCTGCCACTGCCTGTGGCGCCGTTCCAGCCACGCCCTACAGCCACAGAGCAACTGTGTAATCTTAGGGATAGTGGAAGTTGCCAGCCTCAATGGCCTCAGGACCCCCAAATCCCACCAGTAGAGGCTTTTCCTGTTAACTTACAAATAACAAGGCAACACCCACTAGGTAGAGGCTTTTCCTGTTAAGTTACAAATAACAAGGCAACGGCCACTAGCCTGGTACCCACTCCCTGCAACAGAACTTAAAGAATTGTGCCAGGCTGTACGTGAGGATGGAATTCATGCTCCATGGACAAAATCTATACTACAAACATTTAATACTAATCTGCTTACCCCCCAGGACTAGAGGGACATCTGTAGATCTACCCTCCCCAGTCCATTATTTGTACAATGGGAGGCCTTATTTAGAGACGAATGTCTAATGTAGGCTAAAAGAAATAACACTCATAATCAGCAGCTAAGACCCCAACAAGGGCAGGATCCACCACCTGAATTCATAGATTGAAACTATGACCAGCTTTTTGGTCAGGGCAACTTCTCCACAAAAATCCAGCAGGCTGCAATTCCTGCTGGCTGTTTTGAGCAAGTTCGCTTATGTGCATTACAAGCCTGGGACTGCCTAGCCCCCTTGCCCACTGGGCCTGGAGAGACTTCTTCATTAACTTTTTTAAAACAAAAGCCAACTGAGGCTCTCCCAGACTTTATACTAAGAGTGCAAGCCAGTTTAGATAGAAAAATAACAGATCCTGCAGCCAAAGCAATGCTTTTAAACAGCCTTGTCTGGGAAGGGATGACCCCTGAGCACAGACAAGCATGCCAGGGACTAAAAAATGAACATTATGACAAATGGATTGTGGCCACCCATGACATTGGGACTTCCACGTACCAGGCCTCCTCCCTTGCCCAAGCCCTTGTAGTCACAACCCAATCCAACTCAAAGTGCTTTAAATGTGGAGAAACTGGACACTGGAAAGAAAATTGCCCCAAAAATGACTCAGCTGCCACTCGACCCC